AGTTTAGGGCAATTACCCCCAAACTCAAACCCAGCTTTCCCTTTGTGATATGGAACCTTGCAGTACAATGTCATAAAGATCCATACACTTACACACAAGTTATTGTCATGAAACTAGAAAAATGCTTGTTTTTTTGCCCCTTTATGGCCCCTAATTCCTAACATTTTGAGACAATTACCCCCAAAAACAATCCCAGCCTTCCCTTTGTGGTATGGTACCTTGCAGTACAATTTCAGAGAGATCCATACACTTGAACACAAGTTATTGTCTGGAAACTAGAAAAATGCTTATTTTTGGCCCCTTATTCCTAAACGTTTTGGGCAATTACCCCCAAACTCAATTCCAGCTTTCCCTTTGTGATATGGAACCTTGTAGTACAATTTCATAAATATCCATACACTTACACACAAGTTATTGTCATGAAACTAGAAAAATGCTTGTTTTTTGCCCCCTAATTCCTAAAATTTGGAGGCAATTACCCCCAAAATCAATCCCAGCATTCAAACCCTCAATCAGCATCATTTAACAGTAATATCTAAAAATGGAAATTACAAAATAAAGGTATTAAAATAGAAAATGACATCATAGTCATGGCTAAAAATAAACAAAATCCTTAATCAGCAACATTTTACAGTAATATTTAAAAATAAAATTCCTTTGTAACCATAAAAGCCCATTTAAATACATCATGACAGATATTAAAATAGAAAATGACATCATAGTCATGGCTAAACATAGCAAAAACCTTAATCAGCATCATTTAACAGTAATATCTAAAAATAAAAATTTCTTTGCAACCATAAAAGTAAAATAGAAAATGACATCATAATCATAGCTAAAAATAAACAAAAATTTTTTTTATTACCAAATTTTAAATGGAGTTTATTAAACTAAAACAATAAATTTGCAACCATAAAACCCCATTTAAACACATCATAAAAGTATTAAATAATTCAACTACATCATAAGGCTATAAAAATAGAAAATGACTTCATAGTCAAGGCTAAAGGTAAACAAAAAACCTTCATCAGCAAAATTTTATATTGGCAAATTTCCAATGAAGTTTATTATACTAAAATTGTTGGCAAATTTCCAATGCATTTATTAACAATAAAGTTATTGGCAAATTTCCAATTTACATAATTTAAAAGCAGTGTAAGTGAGATATTTAAATGAGTTTGAATTACCAACCTTACACTGCTTTTAAATAATGTTTTGTACTTATTTGTCTATTAACCTGGAAACCCTTGTTTTTTCACCTTTTTTTCCCTTATTATTTAAAGGTTTGAGCCATAACCCTACCCCAAAGCCAATTCTTAAATTCCAATGTAACCTAAATTTACAATATACATAACTTCAATTTAAGTTTTTGATAAAATCAAACCACATCATTATTATTTGCTTTTATATCTAAATCAGAAATAATTAACCAACTTTAAGTGGAAAATTTTCACACATCACGCCCCCCCAAACTCAATCCCAGCCTTCAGTTTGTGGTATGGTACCTTGCAGTACAATTTCACAGAGATCCAATTACTTAAACACAATTAATTGTTGGAAACTAAAAAAAAATGCTTATTTTTAACCCCTTTTTTAGCCCCTTATTCCTTAACATTTGAGCAATTATCCCCCAAGCTCAATTCCAACTTTCTCTTTGTGATCAGAATTAACCAACTTAAAATGGAAAATTTTAAAGAAAAAAAAAAGGAAAAAAAATCCCCCCCCCCCCCAAAAATTTTTTGACCCACTTCCCTTTGTGGTATGGTACCTTTAAGTACAATTTCAGAGAAATCCATACACTTGAACACAAGTTAATGTCTGGAAACTAAAAAAATGCTTATTTTTGCCCCCTTTTTTGGCCACTTATTAATAAATGTTTTGGGCAAACATTTTACAATAATATTTAAAACTGAAATTAATTTGTAAACTTAAAATTAAATAGAAAATGACATCATAGTCATAGCTAAAAATAAACAAACTATTGGTAAATTTCCAATGGAGTTTATTATATTAAAACAATAAATTTGCAACCATAAAAGCGCATTAAAATACATCATAAAAGTATCAAAAAAAATTTGACTACATCATAAGGCTATTAAAATAGAAAATGACATCATAGTCAGACTAAAGGTAAACAAAAAACCTTCATCAGCAAAATTTTATATTGGCAAATTTCCAATGAAGTTTATTATACTAAAATAATTGGCAAATTTCCAATTTACATAATTCAAACATAGTGCAGGTGAGATATTTAAATGAGTTTGAATTACCAACCTTACACTGCTTTTAAATAATGTTCTTTACTCAATTATTTGTCTATTAAAATGGAAACCCTAGTTTTTTAACCTTTTTTCCCCTTATTCCTTAAACGAAAAAAAATAATTACCCCTTTTTTGACCCCCCCCCCCCCCCCTATGATTCATCACCCCCCTCTTCCCCCCCAAACCAAGCTCAATAACAGCCTTGCCTTTGTGGTATGGTACCTTGTAATACAATTTTAGAGAGATCCATACACTTGAACACAAGTTATTGTCTAGAAACTAAAAAATGCTTATTTTTCACCCCTTTTTAGGCCCCTTATTACTAAACGGTTTAGGCAATTACCACAAAACTCAATTCCAGCTTTCCCCTTGCGAAATGGAACCTTGTAGTAAAATTTCAGAAAGATCCATACACTTACACACAAGTTATTGTCATGAAACTAGAAAAATGCTTGTTTTTTGCCCCCTTTTGGCCCCTTATTCCTAAAATTTCGAGGAAATTAACCCCAAAATCAATCCCATCATCGACCCTTTGTGATATGGAATCTTGTAGTACAATGTCAAAGAGATCCATACAATAACACACAAGTTATGTCTGGAAGTTACAAAAATGCTTATTTTCGGCCCCTTTTTGGCCCCTAATTATTTAACTGTTGGTACCATAACCCCCAAAATCAATCCCCACCTTCCTATTGTGGTATTGAACCTTATGGTAAAATTTCATAGAGATCCATTCACTTAAACTAAAGTTAGAGTGCGAAAACCATTGTGTATTCGGACGACGACGCCGGACGACGACGACGCCGGACGACGACTACGCCAACGTCATACCAATATACGACCACAAAATTTTTTTGCGGTCGTATAAAAATTCAGCAATTTTTCTATTTGTAAACACGCATAACTCTAGAACTGTTGTGTATAAGTTTTAAAACATTTGGTTGAGACAAACTAAAGTTAGAGAACGGAAACGAAAAATTCAGCAATTTTTATGTTTATAAAGGGACATAACTCAAGAATGGTAAAAGTGTCACCACCAAATTTCGTACTTAATCTGTATTATGTAGTAATAAGCATTGTGTATAAGTTTCATAACAATTGATTGAGGCAAACTAAAGTTAGAAAACGGAAACAAAAAATTTGTACTTGATCTTAGTTTTGTGGTAATGAATATTGTGTATAGGTTTCATAATGTTTGGTTGGGGCAAACTTAAGTTACAGAATGGAAACTTAAAATTTTGCAATCTTTCATTTATAAAGGGGCATAACTCAATAATGGTTAAAGTGACGCTACCCAAATTCAACTTGATCTGTGTTTTATCAGTGGAAGTCAAAATTAAAAATTGCATTGTATAAAGCATTGATTGTAGTTGATTCAACTGTAATCATGGTCAAAGGAAGATAACTCCAATTTTAAAAATTACTTGATATTTAGAAGAAAATAAAATTTTTTCAATTTTTCCATTTATAAAGGGGCACAACTCTAGAACCATTAAAGTGACGCCACCAAAATTCAAACTTGATCTGTGTTTTGTGGTAATAATCATTGTGCATAAGTTTCATAACATTTGATTGTGCAAACTTAAGTTAGAGAACGGAAACTAAAAATTTAGCAATTTTTCCATTTATAAAGGGGCATAACTCTAGAACGGTTAAAGTGACGCCACCAAAATTCAAACTTAATCTGTGTTTTGTGGTAATAAGCATTGGTATAAGTTTCATAACATTTGGTTGAGGCAAACTCAAGTTAGAGAATGGAAAGCAATTTTGGGACGTGCGTATGTATGTAAGGACGGACAAGGGTAAAACTTAATACCCCCACCGCTACAGAGGGGGCATAAAAACTATACACATCCAGATGTGAATTTGCCTTACAACTGAGATAATTATTTCCAAAAATTAGATTTTAAAAATTTGCCAAAATGATCTGTATGTTCTTTTTTTAATTTTGGTTCATCTATATGTTTCGGAGTTAAGTGTGACGTCCATTTTCTCTGAACTAGTACACCTTTTTGTTTCAAGGCCAGCTGAAGCCTGCCTCCAGGAGCAGGATTTTTTCGCTGTGTTGAAGACCCATTGGTGGCCTTGAGCTGTTTTCTGCTCTTTGGTCGGGTTACTGTCTCTCTGACACACTCCCCATTTCCATTATAAATTTTATAACGCTAGAACGGTAAAAGTGATGCCATCAAAATTCAAACTTGATCTGAGTTTTGTGGTAATAAGCATTGTGTATAAGAGTCATAACATTTGGTTGAGGCAAACTTAAGTTAGAGAATGGAAACAAAAAATTCAGCATTTTTTCCATTTGTAAAGAGGCATAACTCTAGAACAGTAAAAGTGATGCCACCAAAATTCAAACTTGATATGTGTTTTGTGGTAATAAGTGTGGTGTATAAGTTTCATAACATTTTGTTGAGGCAAACTAGTTAGAGAATGGAATGAAAAACGGCGGGGGCATAAAAAAAAACAAATATTTGTACCAGAGATGTGAGAGGTCATGCATTTGATTTCAAAGGCAGGTTGAATCTAACTTCATAATCTTCATTTGCTCCTTTTTGCTAGGCATTAACCAATCAAAGTATGAACAAATCCTAGAGGTCATGGAGTCAAAATAATGTGTCTTAGAAACACCCCAAATCTCTTATCTAACTGTTACCTTACAAATTACCATATTAAAAGGGCATCTTGGTTTGTTGATCCGGTATTGTGGCCAATATCACTCGCATGTTCATGTTTTAAAAAAAAAAACATCAATTGATCAAAATTTGTGTTGACAGGAAGGAGTTTGTAATACGTATTTGATAGAAAGAAAATAGTATTTAAATTTTTTTTGTGTTAATTCAATTAAATACAGTCTAATCATCATCATTTAAATTATATCTCATATCAAATAAAGGGTTTAAAAAGGCCTTAAATCACACACACTCATTTGAGTTTCTTAAAAGATAATTGTTATTAAGATAGGTGGAATTGTTTATTTTATCACAGATAAGAAAAAATACAAAGAACACATACATAAATACACAGGTACAAAATATTACAAATGTCCTAAAAAAAATTGCTGAAACTATGCAGGACTGTTCCACTTAAACTGTTATGGTACCATGGAAACACGATATATATGTAGGTTACTTACAACTTAAGATGCAATTCACAATCATGTGCACTATTTGTACTATTAAATAGGAGTATTAAAGAAATTTAGGTACCACACTTCAAAATAAAACAGTCCTTTACAGGGGCGGATCCAGCCATTTTTAAAAGGGGGGGTTCCAACTATATGTCCCCATTCAAATGCATTGATCGTCAAAAAAAGGGGGGGGGGTTCCAGCCCCCAGAACCCCCCTGGATCCGCCACTGCTTTAATGAACAATAAGTTTTCACTGTGTTCAAACAATCCACCTATATAAATCGATTTTAATTACAAGAATGTTGATCTATAATTATTTTTAACAGTTTATCAATTCAACTACCTAATATTACCATCATATCAAAATTTAAATTTATACATATTATAAAAATTGAGCTAAAAAAATTTATTATAAATATATATTGTTTATGTGTTAAAAACCTTAATTTTTTTATACGATCAACATGTAATCAACAAAATTGCAAAAATCAGTATATATTGTTCTTAATTCTAAAATTATATATTCCACTTGATTCAATAAAATCTATGCATGAATGTCAGTACTATTTTTAAAAATCACTAATGTTTTGAGTACTCGTCAGACATATAGTTATTACACAATTTATCACAGTAAGAAACAAACAAAAATAAACAAATTAAGAATTATTACAACAACATAAACCACAAACAATAGAACACTTTTGGCAACATTGTAATTTTGTTTCTATCGGTGGAATTTGTGACCTTGCAAAATTAATGAAAACCTGTTCTAATGTTGTTTGACTAACAGAATAGTCTTCTATATTGTATTTAATCTTTGCTTGTTCCATTAATCCAAATATCTTGGCCCACGTCAATTTTGTGTCTTTAACATGATAATGAATCATTTCTTGATGTACATCTTTAATTTCACTGTCAGGAAATTTTTCTTTAATGAATCTCATTAATGGTTGAATATTTGGTTCTGTGCCATCTGATGGTGTTCCAACTCTGGCTAGTAGAGAATACCCTTCACCGAACTTGTTCTTTAGATGTTGTGGACTACCTAAACATTTAAACTGTCCATTGACCATGATAGCCAGTCTAGTACATAAGGCTTCACACTCCTCCATGCTAAAATATAAAGATGTCACATTGACCCCTTTTCATTTGATACTTAGTGTATGCTTTGTGTTTTGCTTTACCTTGGAAATTTCAAATTTTAGCTGAAGGAATCTTTTAAGCACTTTCATATGATATGGCACCAAAAAACCTATTTTAACCCAACACTTTTTTACTACATTAAATTTCCATTGATACCTTAATTTCAGAGGTAACTTTTAAATAAGATCTGTTGACACAGAGAAATGTCTCGCCTGTCTGCAGAAAATTCAGAAAAAGAATCTGATGGACAGCAATATTGCTAATTAATTCAAAATTGCTGGACCATGAACTACAGGGTCAGGACCTAGAAATAGTTGTCAAACTGATATGTAGTGATAGTAATGCAACTTTACAGGAAACATCATTGATCTATCACAAGTAGTTCTTATCAAACTAACTTAAGCAGAAAACTTAACATAGAAAATTGATTATTAATTGAAAGTCGCTGGACTTGACCTTCGGGCAGGGCCTCCAACTAGCTGTCATACTGATATGTATTGATAGTAATGTAACTTTATACAAAATATCATTGATCTACAACAAGTAGCTCCTATCAAACTGACTCAAGCAGAAAACTTAACAATTGATGACACATCCTCCTGTGCCGTTGCCTCCGCCGCCCAGAAGAGCAACTTTCTTTGAAAGCGAGACAAAAACGGAAATTAAATTTCAATGGTCACTTAACAAGAGATATAAAAAAATCAAGGTATGTCTAATATTTAAAATTATATCTAATGATATGTACGAACTTGAACTCCTTTAAACTGAAGTAATATAATCCATTTTTTTCTATAAAACATGAAATCTAGCTCCTCTTTACAACTAATATGGCAATTGTAAATGAAATTGGACCTCTCAATCTTTTTACCTATGTGATGTTAATACAAGCGTTCTCCCAGAATCACGTATATTGGATAAAACATCCCACAGATGTCGCCTAGCTACTGGATCCATCCCTGTTGTTGGCTCATCCAGAAATACTATTGGAGGATTGCCAACTAATGCTATGGCAGTGCTCAATTTCCTTTTGTTACCACCACTGAAAGAACAAAATAATTTATAATGTACATTTAGTCTGGGAAACATGATTTATTTATTAGTTGCAATTGGCTTTGATTGGCCATCGTACCACATCTCCTTATTTTTATTTTGAACAAGCTTTCAGTAACTGTGTGTACTCTTCGATTGTCCTATATGTTCTGCTATTTATTTGTATTGTGGTCCTGTCATGTGATGTTGTCGTTTTGGTGTTGTGTTTGACGTTGCCATAAAAGCGGGAGGTTTAGCATGCCACAAAACCAGGTTCAACCCACCATTTTTTTCTTAAAATGTCCTGTACCAAGTCAGGAAATGGCCATTGTTATATTATAGTTCGTTTCTGTGTGTGTTACATTTTAATGTTGTGTTTTTGTTGTGTCGTTGTTCTCCTCTTATATTTGATGCGTTTCCCTCAGTTTTAGTTTGTAACCCGGATTTGTTTTTATCTCTATCGATTTATGAGTTTCGAACAGCGGTATACTACTGTTGCCTTTATTTATGTCTTTTGTCTTTTTGTTAGATGTTTTTTGTGCTTTGTGCAGAGCTGATTGGTTAAGGCCTTCTCAACTGACTTTTTTCAATATGGTCTTATGTTGTGCTAGTACATTACTGTCCTATGTAAGGAGAGGGTTGAGAGCTCACTAAGATTCCTTAACCCTACCACATGTGCCTGTCCTGAAGTCAGGAGCCTGTAATTCAGTTGTTGTTGTTGGTTGCTGTCTGTCATATATATTTTTTCAGTATGTTGATTTTAGGTCATTAGTGTTCTCTTTTGAATTATTCCACATTTGTTTTGTCAAAGCTATTTAATATAGCTTACTTTACTGTATTGTTGAAAGCCTTACAGTGACCTGTAGTTGATTACATCTACATCATTTGGAATAAACTGGATAGTTGTCTCATTGTTATCATACCACAAATTCTTATTATTGTATATGTGCTCCTTATCCTATGCTAACATCAGAATTGAATACAGACTTTTGAAAAACCATGAAATAGGACATCAGTATTGAGGAATTTAAATTTTGTTAAATCAAAAGGGAATTTCAATAAAGAAATTCAATATTTTTGCGAAACTTGTTGTAACTATTAAATTGTGAATTGCTAATTTATGAGTAAATATCGAATCGAAAAGATATCATAAACATTGTTACTTATAGAGCATGTATCAATTATTTTCTTGTTACCTATATGCTTTAACTAATTTATCTGCATGTTTCTGTAACAGAAGTGATGTAATCAGTCCACCAACAACCTCTGGTATAACATTCTCCTGAACCCCACGTAATCTGGCAAACATGTATAGTGTCTCACGTCCTGTCATCTGGTCAATCAAGGCATCATACTGTGGACAGTAACCCAGTCTTTGTCTCACCTGAAATACAAGACACAAATTTTGAAGCCTTTATAGCTAGATATTTTATCATTTAAATTTTATTAAATTGATTAAGGTGTAATCAGGAATTTCTTCAAAGTCATTTATAACTTAATACTTTGTCTTAAAAATTTAATTGTCTTCAAAACCATGTACCTTTACAGTTCAAAGCAAATATCTGTTTTTTTAACAATAATCTCAGAGAACATGTGACACACAGAAATGACCTGCCAAACACTTCTTAAAATTTTTCTTATCTTGTCACAAGGCCATTGTGAATATATTTTCACAAACTCTATTTATCTAATTATTTAGGCCAGCTGATTTCCTTACTATAAAAATTAAATGTGGTATGATTGCCAATGAGACAACTCTCCACCAGAGACGAAATGACATAGAAGTTATCAACTATAGATCACCGTACGGCTTTCAGCAAAACCCACACCACATAGTCAGCTATCAAAGGCCCCGAAATGACAAAATGTAAAACAATTCAAATGAGAAAACTAAAGGCCTGATTTATGTACAAAACAATGAACGAAAAACAAACATTATATACAGCAACACACGACAACCACTGAATTACAGGCTCCTGACTTGGGATAGGCACAGACAGAATATGGCAGGGTTAAACATGTTTGCGCCCATCCCTCCTCCTAACTTGGAACAGTTGTTAAACAGTACAACATATGAACAAACTCTACAAATCAGTTGTAAAGGGCTTAACTCATCAGAATGATACAAAGCATAAAGTCAAATGGAAAAAAGGTACTCTTAAGAACATAATATTTTGAAGACATAATTGACAATACCTGTTCCCCACAGTCAGGAAGACTTTATTTCTCCTTTAAGAAATATCAATTTTCAGGGAAATGATAGAACATTAAAACATACAAACCTCTGTAATATTTTCTGTCACACTTATGCCATCCAAATAAGCATTGCCAGATGACATTACTTCATCTCCTGTCAAAATTTTAAATGTTGTAGTTTTACCAGCACCATTAACACCAAGTAAACCAAAACATTCTCCCTCTGGAATCCCAACAGCTGTATGATCAACAGCAAGATTGTTGTCATAAAACTTAGTCAATTCTTTCATAATGAGGGAGTCTGTATTAAATAGTTCATTCAAGGATGCATTTGCAAGTCTAGCTCTCTCTGTGGCAACATCTGTATCTTCTTGAACTATGGATACATTTCGGTTTGGTCCTAAAAGTGGTGTGTGCTCATTGATAACTTCAGAATCATCTGATAACTGTGAGTGTGTTCTTTCTTTTCTTTGTCCAACTGCATACTGAAATCTGTTCAGGTACCGGGATTCAAGAAATAAAAGGAGACTAAAGTATGAAAGCCCTTGTATGGCCAAAAAAAACAACATTCTACCAATACCATTCTTTTCCCATCCTAAATAATTACTACTCAAAGGAAAACATCCTTCAGGTCCACATTTATCATCTCCTATATTTACATCTGAAAGAAATATCATAACAAATCTAATATGCAACACAAGACAAAATAATATGTACTACGGTAGTCCTTATTTGAAATTTGAGACTCTTATTAACTAATGATTAGTAATGTTTGTATCCTAAAATTCAAATAACTTTCAAAACTGCTAATTATGAAACTGTTGTGGCAAGAAGAACTGTATTATATATACTGAGGTTTCATTATTATTTGTTGGGTACCAATTTTCGAATGTAGGACAGAAAGTCACAGACAAAAAGTCACGGACAAAAAGTCACAGGACAAATAGTCACAATTCAGTTTTGAGATTATTTTTCTTTGAAAAAGAAAATACTTATTTTAAATAAACATTTTTGTATTTTTCTTGATAAATTATATAAAAAGAAACTTTGTAATTAAAATTTATTTAATAAATATCAATAATGATCTAAACATTGTTAAGAAAACAAAATGTAAAAGTGGCTTGGTACTTCAATGGCTTCATGGTGCCAAGAAATTTATCCTTTGCATGATTAAAATTTAATAAATTTTCATTTATCAAGACGAATGAACAATTTCCTAAACTTTAGAATGAATATATGTTATAAAAAGAAAATATTTCAAGATCTTTCTCTTATATATTCAAACAATTGTTGACAAATTATTTGTGACTTTTTGTCCTGTGACTTTTTGTCCTATCAAATTTGTGACTTTCTGTCCTGTGACTTTTTGTCCTGTGACTTTCTGTCCGTTTACCCAATTTTCATAGATTTGTATGATCTAGCTAAATCATGAATTTAAGTGTTCAGAGAAGTACAAATCTCTTTAGGCTTGAATACAGACTTTTGAAAAACCATGAAATCAACTATTCATAAAACTACACCCTTTTCCTCAATCCACAAAAATTGATACCCACAAAAATTTCTGAATCCAGTAAGTAGAATTTTGACCACAAATCAAGATTAACATATATTTCTGTTTATATGTGACAAGGGAAGATTTAACAGACCACAAATCAAGATTAACATATGTTTCTGTTTATATGTGACAAGGGAAGATTTAACAGACCACAAATCAAGATTAACATATGTTTCTGTTTATATGGGACCACAAATCAAGATTAACATATATTTCTGTTTATATTGGACCACAAATCAAGATTACCCGGTAACATATATTTCTGTTTATATAGGACCACAAATCAAGATTAACATATATTTCTGTTTATATGGGACCACAAATCAAGATTAACATATATTTCTGTTTATATGGGACCACAAATCAAGATTAACATATATTTCTGTTTATATGGGACCACAAATCAAGATTAACATATATTTCTGTTTATATGGGACCACAAATCAAGATTAACATATATTTCTGTTTATATGTGACAAGATTAATATATCTTTCTGTTTATATCAATATATGTGACAAGATTAACATATATCTTATAAATATAAAATGTGTGGTTGCCTTAGTACTAATGAAAGGTTAAGGTCACTGCATACAGAATAAAATGCTTCACTGAGCGCAGCCTGATACGACCGCAGAGGTCGAACCCTGAACAGTTGGGGCAAATTTGGACACAATATTCAAGCTTGATACTGTCTGAATTTGGATTGTGATCAAATTTTTGACATAATGTAGGTTTCTGACACAAAATAAATGTGGTCAAAGATCTTATAAATCCATTGCGCAATACTGTGCAATTGAAGATTTCTTCTTGAAACTATTCAAAAATACGAAATTTTAAAAATTTTGAAAAAAAAGTATGAATCCCTTAAAAAAATCCCCCCCCCCCCCAACTTTTTGAAACCTCCATTGGAGCAATTATCCCCAAACTCAATCCCAGTCTTTCCTTTGTAGTATGGAACCTTGTAGTACAATTTCAGAGAGATCCATACACTTACACACAAGTTATTGTCTGGAAACTAGAAAAATGCTTGTTTTTGGCCCCTAATTCATACATGTTTGGGGCAATTAACCCCAAACTCATTCCCAGCCTTCCCCTTGTAATATGGAACCTTGTGGTACAATGTCAGAGAGATCCATACACTTACACACAAGTTATTGTCTGGAAACTAGAAAAATGCTTGTTTTTGGCCCCTTTTTGGCCCTTAATTCCTAAATTGTTGACCCCTTAACCCCTAAAATGTATCCCAACCTTCTACTTGTGGTATTAAACATTGTGGTACAATTTTAGAGCAATCGAAATACTTATACACAAGTTATTATCCTGAAACTAGAAAAATGCTTGTTTTGGGCCCCTTTTTGGGCCCCTTATTCCTAAACGGTTGGGACCATCATCCCCAAAATCAATCCCAACCTTCCTTTTGTGGTATTGAACCTTCTTAAAAAAATTCATAGAGATCCATTCACTTAAACTAAAGATATTGTCCGGAAACCAATGTGTCTTCAGACGACGACGCAGACGACGACATCATACCATTATACGATCCCAAAAATTTTTTTGCTGTAGTATGAAAAGCAACCAGTGATTTAGAAACAGGAAGACAATAATTCAATAGCAGATAGCAGATCATTTCTGAAAATTTTGATAAGATAAGGAATTTTCTATTAAAAGTAAGTCCATGTACACATGTTTTATTGTAAAACTTAGCCATTTAAGTAAATAAAACATATTCTACTTTTTTTTAAATCTGAAGTATCATATGACTTTAAAGATAATGGACAATACTTTCATTTTACCCCTATGTTTCATTTTTAGCCTTGGCACTTATGACATAATGGTTGGCAGGAGGGATCATCAAATCTGTTGTTTCCTAGATGACTCAGAACTTTACCATGTCATATAGAGCAAGTTTGATTCAAGTAACAGTGAACAGTACCAGAGGATAATCAATCTGTTCTAGTTATGTCTTTTAACTATATGGTGGAGTGTTCATTCATCTACCAATATACATTTTATACAAAATTTGACATTTTAAAGTAAAACTAGGCAACTCTTACCTTTACAACAAGGGTTGGGAAAAGCTTTACATAGTCCTATTATAGGTTTACACACTTCCAAGTATTCATAGTTCATATAATAATCCATTAATCCCTGTCCTAGGCAGAAATTTGGTAAGAATGTCAAGAAGACCCACTCTAATGCTTTGGCAAGATCTTCCAGATCCAACTGTGGTATACCCAATATACCTACAGCAAGGATTGTTGCATCACCTGCAAATGGAAATTTAATGTCTATATAATATAGAACCTAAGCACCTTTGCAAGATGTCATTGTAATTGTTCATTACCGGTATTTTTTGTTTGTGACAATGTTTTATCATTCACTCTGGCATATTTACAACATTAATTTATCTAAATTTCCAATGGCGAATATACAATAATGTTCATAATAGTGGAAGTTCATATATAGCATACTGAAGGCAAGTAAATCCTAATCTCTTCTTTACCTTTCCTTTTTAACATTCAAGTCACACACTATCTAAAAATCTAAATATTGTAGATTTTCCTAGCAACTGGTAATCTTAAATTAAAAATTAAATAATTGAAAAAAATTAAAATTGATTTTTGACACAAACATTCTCTTATTTTTTCTTGTCATTACAAAATTTAGGATGTCAAAGAAACAAATATTGTTTTTTACTTCTAAATACCTGATAATATGTTGAACATTGTCAGCCATACAAATCCTGTAGAAGGAACAGTGAATATAAACGACAACAAATACATAAATGGTAACATAGCCCATCCATACAGTATCAACAGCAGGGCCATATGACCAACATGGCTGACAGGCTTTAGGTATGCTGTTATATCAAAAGCCACAAATGTAATAATCAGAAAGATACAAGGAATAATGTAATTTATCATATCCCAACAAAAAGTTGAAAGCCAGAAATTGATTGGGCTTACTCCACTAACAAACTGAATGTGTTTCGCCTTGGTTGCCCGCTCTTTGATAAGGAACAATACAAAACTGCTGGATAGGAAAGAAATTCCAAATACAAAATTGAACGATATTGTGAAACCAGTTGTACTGCCTTTTGTTTCATCTCGAATCTTTTGTGTCTGTGTCCTTGGCAACGGTGAGTTGACTGTTGATAATGTATAACCAGTACTGTTCATAACAAATTTAATAACAGAGTTGAACATAGTTGCCAAGGAGATGGCTGATGAGTGAAATGATTGGTCATTAAAGTATGCTGTAGCTTTGATTTTGTTTGTCACATTTACAAATTTGGCCCCAACAATGTAATGAAGATTATAGTTTCCTAGACCATCAATTCCCTGTTGGAAAAGATAGTCATCAATATTGACAAACTGACTGTCTCTCTTTACATTCACAACCTCATCATGGGATTTTTTAAACTGCATTTCAAAGAAATGTCCTATCATGTTTAAATCTTGCCCACCTCCTCTTTCATTATAAACAATTGTATTTCTACCATAAGCAGATACATTCAGTTTCAATGGTGGAGAATCTTCTGGCCCAGGAAATGTACGGACAACAGTAAGTGCCATAATTGTATAAAACAATGGAATGGCCAGTTGTGTAATTGTGACAATTTTGTTTCTCATCGTATGTTTAGCTCTTTTGATGAACATAGCACAAAACTGTTGCAAAAATAATGCTGTTCCTTTATTTTTCTTCAAGTCACTAGTAACCACTAAAAATAGAATTATAATTAATTTAAAACTGTTTTTAATTTAATTTTAAATTACATTACGTCATAGCACTTACACATTTCATTCAAAATGTCCAAACTTAACAGTGTCTAGACTGGAAATCTGTTTTAACTGAAAGCTTTTATTAGTAAATAATAATGAATATTCTATTGTTATTTTAAATATGTATAAATTAAATACAAACAAATTAATCAGTCCAGAAAGGGTTCATTGTACAATTTTTTTTTTGAATTACCTCTCTTACACTGCTTTTAAATTGTCCATTAACCAGAAAACCCTTGTTTTTTCCCCTTTTTTGCCCCTAATTCCTAAACGGTTTGAGCCATAAACCCCCAAAGCTTATCCTAACCATTCCTTTGTGGTATGGAAACTTGTGGTATAATTTCAGAGAGATTCATACACTAAAACACAAGTTATTGTCTGGAAGTTACAAAAATGTTTATTTTGGCCCCTTTTTGGCCCCTAATTCCTGAACTGTTAGTACTATAACCCCCAAAATCAATCCCAACCTTCCTTTTGTAATATTGAACCTTATGATAAAATTTCATAGAGATTCATTCACTTAAACTAAAGTTATTGTGCGAAAACCAATGTGTCTTCCGACGACGACGATGACGACGCCAACGTCATACCAATATACGATCGCAAAATTTTTTTGCAGTCATATAAAAATGAACTTGAAATTGGTCTATAGTTCCCTATGTTATTTGTCTAAAAATTTAGTGACTTTGCTGTTTTACAGTGACCAGAAGATAATCAATCCTGATACACAAACTAATATTAGTTACTAGAGTCTTCAAGGAGCCTGTATTGCTCATCTGGCATTTGTGCAAAAAATGAACTCGAACTGAGTACCAGTAATATGTAAAATTATGTTCCTTTATACTAAAAAAGATTATTTTGAAAGTAACCATAGTGTGATGATCCAAATTGCCTAATACATGTATACCATAATTTTAACTTGGTTATATTGTTTCAGATTTGTACTTTCTATCTATAGATTCAATGTTAATAGCATTAAGGGTACCGATTTTACTGCCCCAGATATATATTTCAACCATTAATGCTTCTTGCAGTGATACTTGATGCCAGAATATTTGAAAATGCAAAACCTAATACACAAACTTTACAACAAAAAAAGACAAAATAGTAGAGCAAAACCCAGACAAGGATGATGAAGATAGTTCCTTAATTTAATGTGATTTTCTATGATTTATAATAGGAAATTTCAATAAAACAATATCTGTTTTTTCATGTCAGTACAGAAGAACTGAGCTACTATAATAAAAGTATGTTTTATAGTGGCTGCCATCAGATCTGAATCTAAGTGTAATACAACCATTGTTTTTCCCCTATAGTCTTTGTAAATTTTCAATTTTCAAAAAATTGTGCAGAATCTATCTTTGTTTCAAATAAAGAAACATTTGGAATGAGTAAAGTTTTATCCTGTCCAGGACTACAGTGAAAATTTCACATAACATTTCATTGCATGTAAGATAACAAGAAATGATTGTAACAGGATGCTATTACGAAGTCTCCCAAACGAAGCTCCCATAATTCGTAATTCCCAGGGTCACCTGACCAGTAAAGTTATATGCATTAGTGATGCCTGGGGACTAACCCTGTATATCATTCAAATCATCTTGGCATGAAAAACCAGAATATATATGGTTTAGGGGTTGGGATCTCGACCATTTACAAGATATTAGAACATTGGGGATGGGGGGAACCCCTGGGGACTGACCCTATACATCATTCAAATGTTTGAGACATGACGAACAGGAATATATATGGTTTAGGGGTGGGGATCTCGACCATTTACAAGATATTAGAACATTAGGGGTGGGGGGAACCCCTGGGGACTGACCGTGTACGTCATTCAAATGTTCGAGACATGATGAACAGGAATATATGTGGTTTAGGGGTGGGGATCTCGACCATTTACAAGATATGAGAACTTTCTTAAATGGCAGGGGGTGGGGGTGACCCCTGGGGACTAACCCTGTATATCATTCAAACCATCTTAGCATAACAAACCAGAATATATATGGTTTAGGGGTGGGGATCTTGACCACTTACAAGATATTAGAACTTTCTTAAATGACAGGGGGTGGGGGTGACCCCTGGGGACTAACCCTGTATTTCATTTGATGTGCTTTATCATGACAAACCAGAATATATATGGTTTAGGGGTGGGGATCTCGACCATTTACAAGATATTAGAACTTTCTCAAATGGCAGGGGGTCGGGATGACCCCTGGGGACTTACCCTGTATATCATTCAAACCATCTTAGCATGACAAACCAGAATTTTATATGGTTTAGGGGTGGGGATCTTGACCACTTACAAGATATTAGAACTTTCTTAAAAGGCATGGGGTGGCGGTGACCCCTGGGGTCTAACCCTGTATTTCATTTCATCATAGTTTATCATGACAAACCAGAATATATATTGTTTATGGGTGGGGATCTCGACCATTTACAAGATATTAGAACTTTCTCAAATGGCAGGGGGTTGGGATGACCCCTGGGGACTAACCCTGTATATCATTCAAACCATCTTAGCATGACAAACTAGAATATATATGGTTTAGGGGTGGGGATCTTGACCACTTACAAGATATAAGAACTTTCTTAAATGGCATGGGGTGGGGATGACCCCTGGGGACTAACCCTGTATTTCATTAATGGGCTTTATCATTTAGAACATTTTCAATTAAAAAGATTGTGTCTATCACAAACAGTTTTCAATTTATAATCATTTGAAAATTAAAAAAAAATAAAATCCCATAGGGTTCTATAGTAAAACCCTCTTTTCTTTTTGCCCCTCAAAGTACCCCTTTATAAACCCCATTGCACAAACAAAACCCTGATTGCACCACTAGACATGTTAGTCTAACATATTGTGAAACCCTAAGTTAATCTGACAAGCGGTTTTGGAGAACGGGTGCGGACAAGTTCAAATTTAAAAGCGGCGGAAGAGGAAGAGGAAGAAGAAGAAGAATAATAATAACAAGTAATCCTGTGTTAGGATGCTAACACAAAAGTCGCCAAAATGGCCCCCAACCATTGTTCTGCTGTTTCCATGGTAACGGTAGCCATTTCAAAATTTCATAGTCAGATAGCACATCTACACATGACATGGCAAATTATTTACAAATTTCATAAAAATTGGACCAATTTTCAAATTTAGGCATTCGTGTTTCCATGGTTACGGTGGCCATTTTGGAAATTCCAAAGTCAAATGCCACCTCTACATAAGACACTTAACATTTGTGTAAAGTTTCATTAAGTTTGACGCATTTTACTGTCAAGTTTCATAAAGATTGGACCAAATCTAGATTTTTCGCATTTTTGTTGTTTCCATGGCAACGGCGGCCATTTTGGAAATTCCAAAGTCAAATTCCAAATCTACATACACTCGTTAACATCTCTGTAAAATTTCATTAAATTTGAAGCATTTTAAAAAATTTCACATTTTTGCAGTTTCTATGGTAACGGCGGCCATTTTAAAAATTCCAAAGTCGAAATTACAGCTACATATGGTGCTACCTGTAATAATCTATCATTATATAACATAAAAAGTACATAGGAATAATTCAACACTATCACATGACTAATCACATGACTATTGTTCTAGAATGTTCCATGAAAATTGACCCCCTAAAATAATGCAAAGATGACCCCGGGCTGAAATAAAAAATGTGGAATGGACACCTGGACATCGGTCTCTTGTATTACACAAAACTCAAAGGTTCTACCAGTAGCGTATCAATAGTCGAAAAATGACCCCACCCATGTTCTGGCCCCCAAATAGTGCCAAGTTGACCCCCATTTGAAATAAAAAATAGTGAATGCTCCCCTAGGGATACTACCCCAACATCATACCAAATATAAAGCTTCCATCATTTAAGGCTTGGAAGAAAATGGTCAGAAAAATTAGGGTTAAGAAGAACTAGATTTGCCATTGCAAGCAATAGCGGATGGCACCCTTCCCCCATTCCCAGGTGAGCGGCAGCCATTTAGCAAATTCCAAAGTCAAAGAGTGCATCTACACATGCAAATTATCATTTTTGTAAAGTTTCATTAAGTTTGGAGCATTTTGAAATTTTGAACTTTTTTGCTGTTTCCATGGTTACGGCAGCCATTTTGAAAATTCCAACTGCAAAATGCAACTCTGCCTACGCCAGTTACCATTTCTGTAAAGTTTCATCCAGTTTGCAGCATTTTGATTTATTTTGAAATTTTGGACATTTTTGCTGTTTCCATGGTTACAGTGGATGATTCCAAAATTCTAAAAGCAGACATCTCATTGCCACATGTCATGTTATATATCAATACAGTTTCACTGACTTTGGTGAAATACTCTTTCAGAAAATGCTGATTTTATGCATTTTCCCATAGGGTCAATGTAAAACTTGCCCACTGTTTCCATGACAACGGCGCCCATTTTGGACTATCCAAATATTGTCTTGACATCTTAGCATACTGGGTAACATTTTCATAAAGTTTCATCCAGTTGGGTCTTACAACGAAAGAGTTAGAATTTTTGATATTTTAGCTGTTTCCATTGTAACGGCAGCCATTTTGAAAATTCCAAAGTCAAACTGCAAATCAGCACATGCCAGTTAACATTCCTGTGGAGTTTCTTCCAATTTGGAACACTTTGATTTTTTTCGCATTTTTGCTGTTTCCATGGAAACGGTGGCCATTTTTTACCATTCCATAGCAAGGTGCACAACTTTACATGGGGGTCCTCATTATAGTAGAGTTCCATCAACATTGGTCCATTGGATTCCAAGAACTCGCTTGGACAAAATGTGTGGAAGAAAAATAATAAAAACTAGATTTGCCATTGCAAGCAATAGCGGATGGCACCCTTCCCACATTGCCACTAAAACTGCAGCCAATTTTAAAATTTAAAACAGTATTTACACATAAATACATCACAACATATTTGTTTGTAAATTTTCAGAAAGTT